TTACTTAATGTCCTGTGGCTTTGTAGATCCACATCCACTGATCTTTAAATTATAATGCACATGTGTAAATGAAATTAATATAATATATTGTTGAAATTGCACCTATTTTCCATAAGAAAATTCAGGTTGTTCATAATGTTTTGTGAAAAGAAAGTTTATTTAATGTGATCATTTTCAGAATGTATTACTATTTCTTTGCAATAAAACAAAGAGAACAATTAGGGGTTGTTGCTATTTATAGGTAATTATGCCTTAATTTTACTGGTCCGGCCCACTTAAGGTCAAATTGGGTTGTATGTGGCCCCTGAACCAAAATGAGTTTGACACCCCTGCTCTAAGGTAACGAAAACACCACAAGTCTTATATTCAGGTGACTTGTACACTACATACAACATACATATGAATATATTTACGAATATATTATATGCCATTTCCACTTAGAGAACCTCCTAAATGGACCTTTAAATACTGAGCTAGAGTTGGTAGGCTGGTTAGCCTAGCCTAACCCAGCATAAAGACTGGAAGTGTGGCAAAAAGGCTTGCTTGGCTCCGTCCAATGTTAAAAATTATGAAAATATTCGTACTAATCTCTTCAGCGGTCTCATTTACAAGATTATTACATTAACATATGAACACCTTAAGGAGGAGGTACGTGTGCTATTGTATTATTTGCCAGATACGGCTGGTGAGCACAGGTTTTGGTGTTCAAAAACCAGTGTCCCAAACACGGAAGGCATGAGCACAGAGAAGGAAGGAGCAGAAGGGTAGAGTATGGGGAATGAAGCTGGTAGGAGGAGATGTGAGAAGTGGCAAGGAAAAATGACAGATGTTACTATCAGAGGGGGGTTGTTGGGGGGGAAATGTCACTCCATTCACCCTGAAAGGGAGGAATAATGGGAGATGACAGCGAATCAGAGAGAGAGGGAGGGAGACAGGGGTTAAATGAAAAGGTGGGAGATAAGAAGGGCTCTCAGGGCACATATGGCAGTGGACATGGTCAATTTGGATTATTTGTGTGTGACTCCAACATATGAAGAATAATAATGGTTACACATGCACGGTCTTCAGCGTTCGTGCTTCATTATATTCCCCCGTATACACAGTATATACTGTATTCCTGTGTGTATATACTGTATGTGTGTATTTGGATTCCTTGGCCTACTTTCCCCGGGCATGGGCTGGAAGACGGCCAGCAGAACTGGTGTTGAGTGAGGACTGGCCGCACGTGGGGCTCTGTGGGAGAGTGAAGATAGAAACCTACACACACAAACACACACACAGACACTGGACAGGAGGTTTAGGTTGTGTTTTTTGCTGAATGGCTTTAAAACCCCTGTAGAGCGGCCTCTTTTCCATTAGGCTCGGCCAGCTGTCCACAGCAACAATAACTTACTCACCACCATAAAGATTTGGCACCAGCTCATACTTTATCTTTATAGTAATAAAAACGATGAAAAGCTGTCACTGTTAATAGTTCGAGTCAGAGCCTTTTCAAGTGTAAGTGTATGGAAAAAAATCTCCATGATTTACCTCCCTGAAGTGCCCTTTTTTTTATTGTCATCTCACGGTTTTAAAGTGCTGTACTGTTTCCTTTTGTCCCACTGACTCAACACAATGAATACTCATCTGTGCCTATACAGTACTTCCATGCAGTTTTGGTCAGGATGGAAAGGACACTTAGCCAGTGCTACAGTTAATGTATCGTCTCAGCAACCTGTCGTGCACAATACCCCTTGCACATGTAACATAATGCAGTGTTGGCCTCTATGTGCCTCTAAATGGTTGGTTAGTTTGTTGTGTGTTTTATTGGAGAGATGTAGTAGGCTAGTTGTATTTTAAATCTTTTGTGGGAATTTGTTTTGGGAATAATGACATCACAAAAAATTGCACCCTTAAGATATACCACTAAAGCACAAACTGAAACTGAAAAAATGTGCATTGAAACAGTTTAAAGCCTAATGTTAGCTTTAGCTGAGAATGCATTTTTAAACATAACAAGGACTGTGGATTCTGAATGCAATCTCTTACATTAGAATCGGGTCAGACAGGGACCTCTTCACAGCTGGACAGAAGGAACAATTAGAGCAACCAAAACTGTTTCAATGCACATATGGAAATGTGAGTATTGTTGTAAGATGATCCTTTGAGGTTGTCTTGCTTTTTTTGTAATCTTCCGGCCCTGTCTTGTAGAGGGTCACAATGTTGTTTCAATGCCTTTGATACTGCGCAGGGAGGGATGTTCACTAATCAGATGTTTGGCGGTTTGAACCCTGGCTTCTCCTGCTGCATGTTGAAGTATCCTTGATCAAGATACTGAACGCCAATGTGCATCAGTGTATGAGTGGGCGTGAATGGGGGAATGTGGCGTGTAGTGTGGCTTTGAGTGGTTGGAAGACTATAAAGGCGCTACACAAGATGCTAACTCAACTGGTCGAGGCAGACAGCCACACACCTAGAGCCGGGGTCTGCTCGAGGATTCTGCCTGTTTAAAAAACAATGTTTTTCTTTGCCACTGCTTCCAAGTGCTTACTCATGGTGGGAACTGTTGGGCCTTTGTAAAAAATGATAGTGTGTATTTGAAAAGTGTCCTCAGATAACGTCTCCTATGTTTTAGTGCTATACAAAAAAAAAACTGAACTGAATTAACTGACACTTTTTCTGAGAGTGCATGGGAAAAATATAATGAAGATGCCATTTGTAATCTGCAGTGTTCACTGTACCCAAAGTGTACAAAGGCAACAGGGTACATACTGTACAGCAGTGGTTGTCAGCCTTTCTGGTGTCAGCAACCCCCAAATTGATGTATTTGATACGATGCTGTCTCAGGGATCCCTGTCTGATAACATTTAGTTATTCCATAACGGTCTGTACTGTAGATTGGCAGATTAACAGGGAAGAGTGTGAAACCTATGAACAGAATTCATTCTTATACAATCTCTTATTGGTCTAACCGCTAGTCAATTAAGTAAAAGTGAAATTTAAATATTTACCATTTTCCTGGTGATCCCCTGGGACCCTCTCAAGGACCCCATGTTTAGAACCACTGCTGTACACTATGCTCAGGGAATGTGAGAAACAGGGGCCTGCGGGCTTCCCTGAAGTCCTGCAGCAAGTTAATCCTGCCTTCACAGGGTGTTCAGGGATTGTCACCACAGCTATCATAACACACACACTGGTGCAGTATCAAATGTTCCTCACACACAGGCCCACATATACAAGATGCCACACATGCTATAATTGACATACAGCCCGCTGATGCAATGACTATGAAACAGTCCCTATATTTGAAGGTGATTACACAGAATCATTTAAGATACCATACTTGTCAGACCAGGCCAACTGATGGTTGCACAGGCATCTCATGTTCAACAAGCCAAAGAAAACTTTGGTTGCTTTTCATTTAAAATAGCCTTCAGTTTATTTGTAGCTGTGCACTGCTCTGCCTCTTCTGCCTTGAGAGGAATGGCAGAATCAAGGAGGCGGAAAAAGCAAATGAGCAAAAGACGAAAGGGCAAAATGGAAATGTGGTGTTTTCTCTTTTCATTTTTTCCCCTTTAAGCTCCTGTCGAGGGCCCAGCGCATTCATAAAGAATTTACCATCCGGCTATTTTTAGACGGCGCAGTGAGAACTCCTAGGCTGAACAAACGTGTGAGAGAGTGATGGTGGAGAGTCGTGCTCAGTCAAGATGTAGTAGATTGTGGCTCCTTGTGGAAATTCAAGTCATAAACTTTCACAGCCATATTAAACAGACTGGTGCAAAGCTCTACCCATTACTTAATCCTTGTTTAGTTATGTACCAATCTTAATACTTACATAACATTTGGGAGTGAAATAGAAGTATTTGCTTTTTAAATTCTGCGTTTGTTGGTCTTGCTTCTGCAGTTCTGTCCTTGATGGCAACTTCATGGATTTTTTAATTGTATTTCACACAAAAGGCTCCAAAATTGATTTCTTGGTCAAATATTTCTGCTGGATTTGCATGTCCGTGGTATTTGCATAACAGGCTTTGAGGTCCATTCATTCAAAATGCAGTAAACTCTTGCATAAAGAAGAGCTTTGGCAACTCTGTGAGCCGCTGTGGGTGTAAGCTCACATTGTGTAAGTAAGTATGTAGTTGATAGGACATAATTTGGTGTAAAGAGTGTATTATTCATACAGTCAAGACCACCCATATCCTTTTCGTGGCATTGAGGAAATGCTCCAGGGTGTCTCGGTCTATTCAGTCCCCTGCTCCTGTTGTAGTGGGTGTCATTCACTACTGTCCATTGAAAGAGCGAGGGCACTGCTGGGGCAGCTCTGGGTGCAAGTCTGCACAAACAACAGACACGCAGACATACACACTGCACAGGCACCATTGTACCTCACGGACAAGAGGTTTCTTTGTCGGGGCATAAGAGCAGAGGATGTCAAGACGGGGATATGATGGTGGCCCTTGCTGCCTCTGTGCCCTTTTGCCACGCAGCAAGAGCATCACCACCCTGGCACATGTTCATGTGGACACAGTGAATAAATAAGAATTAAGAAGATTTGGAAAGAGAATAGATGAAATGAATGGTTGTTAACAGACTTGGACCTGCTACTTTCTCCTTGTTGATGTTGGTCTTAGGCTCTCCTATCTAAGGCATTTCTGTGGTGTACTCTACAGGGAATGCTTCTTAATCAGTCTGTATTCTGAGCACTGTAATGTCTTCTTGCCTGGATTTTCTCATGGTGGAGTTAATACATTTCTTTAGGTGGCATTTGTTTCATTGTTTAGTTGTGGTGGCTGTTGCTGCTGCATCTTCCTGTATTTATTCCAATCTCGGGCTGCTGGAAACATACATTTCCTGCGCACTACAAATACATTTTTTCCAAGGAAACATTGACCAAACTGTTATTACATTATGACATTAAACATAATGTACTGAATTAAATGAAGTGAATGCCATTCTGATTTATACTGGGGAAATCAAAGATAGGCCAGGTTGTAACCTGTCCCCCTTTCTTCTCTCTCTTCTAGATCATGCCCCCTAGATAGCAGCTTCATCCTCCTATCCACTCCCCCTCCCTACCCCTAGCCCCTTCCTTTACCTTCCTGGTCCAGCACCATCACTGCCACCTGTGTCACCACAGCCACCATGCCCCCCAGGAAGAGGACGCGGCCGGGTCTAGGTTTTCTGTGCTGCTTTGGCAGCAGTGAACCCCCGGAGATCAACCTCAAGGACAGCGTGCCCCTGCAGCTGCTGGAGTTCAGCGCCCCCATGCCGCCCGCTGAGGAGCTGCATGCACGTTTCTCCGAACTAGTGGTGAGTAAAGGTTGAGCAATCTTAATGGCTGAGCAAGCTAGTTGAATGGTTTCTTAGACTGGCATCCAAAAAAAATGCAATCCCCCTCACTGAATTTAACCAGTTAGGCCTAGACTTGTGTCTGCCATTTAACACAGACCAATGTGGATTTGTGGTAAGGGAGTGTTGTATTAGTTTTAAGTTTAGATTCATCAACCTTCAGATCAACTGGGCATTTTGTTCACTGAATGCCACCGACCCAAGTGGTTTCATGGCCTACCCAACTAACTTGTGTTAGGGTTGATGGTCAAAAAATACTCAAATTGTGGCTTTATAGAAGACTAGCACATTCATGTATAATACTTCATGAGGAGAAGTGTCTCAAATGGTCTGTCAGACAACCTGTTTGTCCCTGCAGTCAGCGCAAGCCTGCCCAAGCTGAAGAGCCTCTCCATGGGCGCGTTAGAAATATTATTGGTATTGTTGGGAAACTGTTCAGGATCTCCATCTTCGACCCCGACTTCAGATATATCACTTCAGTGTTGGAGTTACAGAAAAAGCAAAGAAGTCACTCAAAGGCTCCTTTGATTTTTATCCTTTTATCCTTTTTCTTTTTATGCAGATAATTGAAGATCTTAAGTAATGCAAGTAACAACATAATTGTTTGATTAGTAACTGTAACATAATTACTGAATTTAGGGAATTTATTGAGCTTACTTTGTAATACGTTATATCCTACACTAACACTAAATGCCTGCTTGCGGTTGCAACTTTGACACAATTACTAAGTACATTTTTGCATGAATTTTGTGGGATCAGACCTTAGTGTGATAGTGTAGAAAAAGTAGCTGTATAACCTGCATATCTACCTGTTTCCATCCACTGAGCTTCAGCTTAATGAGCCTGTTCAACTTGTGAGTGAATGAAATGCAGTTCTGTGCTGCACCATACAGAAATACTGCCCATAAAGTGAGAAAGTAAAAGATATGAAGCTGGCTCAAAGCAATACTTTGGTACAATCCATAGAATGTCGTTTTTTCCTAATGCTGAGCAGTCCAATTATTTTCCATTTCCTTCCTTTGCATGTTGTTTGGTATCCCAACCAAACAAGATTAGGGACAGGAATTGGAAGGGATTGGATCTTGTGGAGGGTGTCTTGATGGTTGAATGACGCCACACCCCAACCCCACCACCAACCTCCCCCCTTTTCCACACATTCAGAAGCTCATCCTTTCCACTACACGCAACCCACGCAACAGTTCCTATCTCGTGCACAGATCACACTTGTTGGCAGAGGTTGTTGGACTGTACTGGTGCCAGACTGGCGAGGCTTTGTTGGCATGTGCCTCGGTATGGAGAGGGAAAAGGGCACAGCTGTCTACCGTGGGTTTCAGCCGCCACGCAAGCTGGTTCTAGCTTTGCTGGAAGAACGGGGCTTTGCTGTTTCTGCCTTCCCTGTTTGCTCAGTTCCTGTCTCTTGCTCTGTTTGGGACTCCATCTCAGCGCTTCTGTCATTCTCCCTCAACCTTAGATTTCCTTCTTCTTCTGCCTCCATCTCTCTCTCTCTCTCTCAACAATGTGCTCGGCAGCATGGCTACAGGACTGCTTCTGGCGCTGTCAAGCCTTAGTCTTGGGGATTGCTAAACTTCACCGCCTGCAGGATATATCACTCCTCCAACTGTCAAAGTCGATTCAGGGGATTAAGTGAAATTCCATTTGTGATAGGAAATTATTCACTGTTATCAAGGCATCTGTTTTCCCAGTGGTGATCCTTTCCCATTTCTCCAGCTAATTGACCTGATTTTACCCTCAATTTGCTGTCAAGACTCTTTTACAGTCACTGGTAATGCACAGGCCATTAAACCTCAGTAGCTACAGTATATTTATTGGGTTGATTAGGAGAAAATAAAAACTCAGCATAGACTGGAATGACCAAAAGCCCTTTGAGCTGTGTAGTAACCAAAAGTTTCTTCCAAAGGACCAATATGTTTTTATTTGATGCACTTGATGCCATGATGGCTTGAAAAAATGCATGAATCAGGCTTTTACATGGAGGAATGTTTGGAAAAGCAAACAAGACATGTATTGCTGGGATAAAAAATAAAAGCATGTCTGTCATATGGGAGCACTTAGCCAAATCACGGCAGCCCTCGTGATGGCAAGGACCGAATGACCCACAGCTTATTTTGGGGTAAATATCTGAGCTTGCGATGTAGCTGACACAGATGCATCCGCTGAAGAAGAAGAAGGAGCGGAGCAGACAGATCCCCGATTTTTCAAGTCTCTTGACTTTGCAGCTTTTCCGACCCAGGAGAGAAAGAGGATTTGGCTCTTTCTCGTTGGATCTGGGCCCTTCCACATGTTGTGAATAGATTATTCTTGAGATGGTTGTTGGACAGCTACATCTGATGGTGTCGTTCACAAGCTTAGATGTTTTGTCTGTTAGAGTCTGGTTCTACTTGTCTTTACTGCAGAATTCCAGCATTAAATGTAGCACTCAAAGGTTAAAGTTCAACTGTAATTTATTGCATTTTATATCAGCTACATCATACATATCTGTTCTGTAAATCACTTGTCCTGTGTTCTCCTTTGAGAGAAAAACAGAAACCAAAAGGGAGAAATTCACATTTTGTATTTTTTATGGTTTCATGATGTGTCCCCTAGTTTTGCATTAATTCAATAAAATACTGTTCCATCTATCCATCTGCATAGATGGAGACCTTATTTCAATATAGCCAAATAAATCTGGCATAAAGCAACAATTTGCATACAGCCAGCGTTCATAAGCAGAGCAGCTTTCTTGCTAAAGCCTCCTTCTTATTTAACTTGCATAAACGTACACCTAAGCTTGTTGAATGAGTGACCAAACAAACATCCACCGGGGAAAAGTGCTCTCCTAACGTCAGTTTGTGGGCTAGCTGCTCAGCTGCAGCACAACAGCATGGAAAAGTACCTGCAAATACAACATGGGTCCGGCTAGATGCTGCTAGGGTCTGTATACTTTCTCTGCCGATGACGAGTAACCTAAAGCACAAGTTTGTATTCTTTGTCTCCCTTTCCCTACAGTGTACAGCTAAAATACATGGGGCGTGGATGCAACACATCACGTAGGCAGGGTGGAGTGGGTTTTCTTACCTGCTACACTGCCTCTTTGGCTTTGTAGCATGTGGTAGAGTGCCAGCTTCACAGTGTGCATATTGAGTTATGCCAAGGGATAATGCAGTACGTTATGCAGGGTTTGGAAGTTTAGGCTATATTAACTGCCATTGAATTAATTAACTGGATCATTTTAACTACAGGATCATGAATATACATTGATTTTACTGATTTATTTTAATGTGAAATGTAAAACACCCACACGGTTGTACTGCTGGGTCGCATTGCCTCTGGGGTAGTTATTTCATTTTTAAACAGTTCGAAGTAGTTTTTACCTGTTGGCTGCGTAGACGTATTTATGGGAAAAAGAGGACCATAAAAAATAGAGAAGAGCAGCATGACGCCTGTGTGGGTGCACTTGGCTTCCGTGGTCAGTGAGTAGCTTCACTTGATTATAATGGATGAGCCCTGCTGCTACATCTGTGCCCCATGTACTTTGGCTGTAAAGCCAACACTGGCAGTCTGCCAGCTTGTGTCAATCATACACAGACATCAACACGCCCCTCTAGCAAACAAAAAAACTATGAACGATACATTTAAAACACACGATGACTTAGTTTTTACTACAAAAAGGGGTGACTAAATGTGCTTTCAGTTGGACTATAAAACCTCACGCTAGAATGTTTAAAAAGGGAAAGTGATGTTCCAGTTATGATCACTCAACGCGTGACAGTTTGATTCATGTCTGCTTTGATTGGATGACCAATGCACAAACTGCTTCTACCTAACGATGGTCATCTGGCCAAGCCATCGGTCCCCCACATCTGTTTAACTGATCCTGCAGCCGACATGCTGAAACATTTGACCAGTCGTCCAAAAATCTGTACAACCAGACCTCAAGCAGTCACTCAGTCTGGACACAATGCTTGTAACGCTGACACAGAGAGCCGATGTAGGGAGGCTGTGCTCCAGAGGAAGAAATAAAGAAAAATAGAGAAAAACATAACATAGTGTGTTTCCATGGCAACGGGAGATGGGGATTATTGTTATGAAAGCCATCCCTGAGGAGGAGAATGAGACTCAATGGAGCCTCCAGAGTGGGAGCGACAGATCTGGGCCAAACGGAGGAGTAAACCACCTCCACGTGTCTTAACGTCCGTAATGGGGTCTTCCACTGTGTCTAGAGACTGCACAGTGCACACTCAGCTTACACTGTTAGTGGAAGAAAAGACTTTAGCTGATTTGTCTCAAAACTATCGCATGAAAAATGACTGGCCGGAAAATCCTTAACTGTAACTTGTCTATTTTACCATGGTTGTTGCTTGGAATATTGAATGGAATACGTGGTATGATATGTCTGTCCCTTGTGCTTTTATGAAAGATCACCTGGCTTGGATGATAGAAGTGGAATAGAGTAAACAGACATATTACTATGGTGATGAACTGGGTACCTCTCAGCCATTTTCACCACCCAAAGACACACCAGCAAGTTCTGGTATCTCAGAGCCACACTTTCCACCTCTGCTGTCAGCTCACTAGACATTGGAAGAGTTTTTAAATGGATAACCTTAAAGCAACCTCTACCAACTTTTCATGAAAAATGTAAGAGTATAGAATAAGTAATGTAGCAAAAGAGATGACTTATTGTCCTTGGGGTGTAGCTTGCAAACCTAATATTGCAGAATAAGCATGTGTGGGATTCATCCTTGGTTCCCTTGTGTAAACACTTTCACTCCTCTGCCAGAACTCCTCCAAGTCTGCCATAAACCCATTCGAAAGACCCCTTTGCCAATAATGACCTTGACAAACCCACGCAAATGAACCTGGAAGCAATCGCCACTGATTTGGACACAATGAACAAAGACCACATCAGAGGAGCTAATGGATCGCATCAATTAAACTACGTATTTGCAGCTGGCCGCAGA